TAATAGAAATTATCAGATTGCGTGTCCAGTATTCTTCGTACGTGCTTGTTAATATAATTTAGTTAAATGGGATTAATCCTATTTAGACAATTATTTCATCCATCATCACTTTACAAACTGACATCAATTTTGTTTTAAAGTTTTTACTGATTTATTTTATTTAAAATTTCTTACTTTCGTTCCACACCTCGTCCCCTACCGCCCCCTTGGCTTTTCACTCATAAATATTTTTTTTACTGTATTGCACCATGAATTACCATTAAAACAATAAGAGGATAATATTGTGAAAGAGAGAAGAGCTTTTACTTTTTAAGAGAAACACCAAGACTTCAACACAAATGCAATGAATGAAGAAAAACTATATTTTCGAAAAACATTACTAGGTTCAATCGAAAAAAGTTTAGGTTTTTGACAATTTAGAAACTAAAGTATTTGGAATGGGAGATAATAAATATAGAATTGCGTGCAATAGTGTGGAATAGTCAATTTTAGAGCATGACGGAACTGTGAGGGAAGAAATAAATTCACGCCAGTAATTTCTCTACCAAGGACTTAATAATTTTTGTTTTGTGAAGGATAAACTTCAAGCAAATCATCATTGAATTTAACGTTAAATTTTGGATATGTGATAATAGCCAATTATATTTCTTCAAACTAAAAACGATTGGTTAATTTGTGAGACGAATGAAAATATGAACACAATGCGAAAAAGTGACACAAAAATATTGAAATGCCACAGTGATTAAGGTTCAGTGAAAGTAATTCCGATATCAAACGGTCTAAGATCGATTAACGTGGCTTTCGGAGTTACGTGGAAGCTAATTGGCAAGCTTTGGAATCTGCATTGGAGACACCCTCGATAAATGTGGAGTTGATACGGTCACTGACAAAAAATACGCTGCACATTGTAGGTGTTATGACGCAATACGTTATCACATGATACGCTGCCATTGAATCTGAGGACACGTAGATATGTATTGTTTCAGCCAAGACGGATGTATAGTTGTCACGGCCGTTTCAAGTTCCTCGAAACGGATTCAATGGAACGCCGCAATGGACAAAATAAGACATTCATTTCACTTCAAGGAGGGCGTAACTTTTCCCCAGTTTCACGATTGCGAAAATCCCCGGGTGTACATAACGTGAGGAGGCCAAGGTTAGACAGCAAATGAAAAGCTGGCAAGTGTTTGTTCTCGTGTGATCGTGACACATCTAATGCTTCGAAACGTGATCTCAATGTAAAAGGTTGAGATCAGAAACCCTCGAATAAAAGGGAACATCCGTCTAAAGTAAAAGGGGTGAGATGTAAAAAATAAGTTGTCTCTGTTAATACATTTTACTTAAATTATACGTAATTAAATTATTCTTAGAAACTGAATTATTAATCCATACAATTAGATGAAACTATGTCATTTGAGAACAGAAAATTTTGATGTAAGATGTTAAATAATTTACTGTTAAATAAGGAAAATACGTGGTTACTACCGCTTCCGCTTAATTTTGTTGTAAAATAAGTAAATATAATATTTTCTTTCGGAAATGTAACAAAGGCGAATACCTTCTTGCAGATAAACTTTTTATGAGCAGACCCCTTTTTATTTCTACGTGAGTAGTAGACCATCAGCAGCCATGTATAATTCATTACTACTCTATTCATAATTTGTGCATACAAAATTTGAAATACATTCAAAATATTTTGTTCGGAAAATAATTTTACTCCTTTTCGTTTCTCCGTTTGTTTTTGGTCACCAAACTATTGATGAACGTATCTCAATTAATGTACTATATGCTTTGGAAATGCCTCTTCGACTCCAGCTTCATTTACAATTCACGTAGAACAAACTCGAATCAGTAAAACAAAATCTATGAAATTTAGATGTCCAGAATCTGTAAAATGAAGATACGAAATCTGAAAAAATTAACTCTAAATGGAGACAAATAAATATATTTGCTTATTATTGTTAATAGCAACTAGATAAGTACATTTAAGTGATGCTCTTATTAATTTTTCTAGCTATATGAATCTTCAACAATCTAACAACAGTTATTTGCATAAAACAAGTTCAGATATTTATTAATATTAGTGAGGCCCACTAAGCGTTGTGGAATTGATACTCAAAATATCTTCAAAAACACGACCCTTTCACAAGACCCAAGCTCGAGGTTGGTGAATCTTTGGTTAACGCTCGTATAACACAATCTCCAAGCTTTCCAATTGTTAGACAAACCTCGCACAATATTTCGTAACTCGTGCGCGGGCTGGTCCCACCCCGTGGCGCAACGAGGTGCGCTTCCTATTTCTCGCGATCGCCGTGGTGCTAGGTTTGAGTCCCAAAAGTGTCAGGATTTTCGACACTATCTACACAACGAGGACGAATTCAGTCGGTGTCTGGAGGAGAATCTAGCGGCCGACTCCTCTGATCGGTAGTTTTACGCGGTTTCTCCGATGGCGAATGGCGGAGCAGTACCCTAACAAACGGGCCACGGACCACGCACGATCTTTCCTTCTTCCATTTTCTTCCTCACCCTTACATACCACACGTATACAATGTTTTCGTAACTGCTACCAGCGCGCGGCGTGCCACCCGTGACGCACGAGCGGACATCGATTTCTCGCTATCGCCGTCACGCGTGGGCGCGTGGTGGCTGGGCAATGCGTGCGTGCGTGCGCGCGCCAACCGTGCGCGTCTGCGCGCCTCGCAGCCCGGAAGCGCCGCCGCGCCGCCGCCGCCGCACCGGCTCATTTCCTTTCGGCTCGCCGCGACCGTTCGTTCGCTTCTCGGCCGCCCCGCCCCGGCACGGCGCCGCTTCCCGCCGGCAGGCGCCGCCCGCCACGCCCGCTCGTGGCGACCACGCCCGTCCGCTCACGTCGGAACAAAGGCCGGTTTGGACACAGCGTGGGGGTGACTCTGGTTGGCGCCTAGCGCACAAGGCATTCGGCGAGTTCCGGTCCAGAATTTCCAAATTATGCACTGTTCTGTGTGTTCTGTTCTGTTGGTAGCTCAGGGCATCAATTGATGCCTCTGACCGGAAGGTGCTAAGTTCGAGTCCCGGCAGTCACAGGATTTTTCGACAGTAACTATGTCGAAATCAGTTGCTTTCTGAAGAACCCTTCTAGAGGCCGGCTGCTCTGATCGTTAGTTTTCCGTGGTTTCTCCATTCAAAAGTTTCTCCAGACGAATGCCGGAGCAGTACCCTAACAAACGGACCACGGATAGCGCGCGATCTTTCCTTCTTCTTCCTTGTCCTTTCCTCACTCCTTACGAACCGAGTTACTATTACAATCACTACCCTACCACACATGCTGGGAGACCAGTCGGGAGCTTAAAACTTGTCCGTTCTGAGCCAGTGCCCCGCTGGTGGGAGATACCTGGTGGGGGGAAATCCCGAAAGCCGGCGAGAAGGTCGGCGCCGGAGCTCGCCATCTACCGGAGTAACATCACCACCCCCACGACAAAAGCATGGACTACACTTACGGGACTAAATACCTTAGCATTTTACGTGCTCGGAAACACTACTCAATCAATCAATCATTCCTAGTTTCCTTAGAATACGTTCGAGAGGAAAAACAAATAAATTAATTATAGTATGTGCAATAATAAACACTACACTCAATTGAGAAGGGTTGGTAAAGTGGTGAAACGAGAGGTTTCTCGTGAAGATTATAACGCGTGGTAGTCTCGCCGAGTTCATGGATGTTTGACCCTAGTTCTTCGAACAGTACGTCGTGTTGGCCTCGCAACTGAACAGTCTGCATGCTTAAAATGTGGTCTGCGGATAAGGGTGTGTCCAAGGGTAACAACTTACAGCTAGAAAATGTCAGAACAAGAGAAACAAAATCATCTCTCTTCGATATCGTGTTTTCTTTTATTGTAGTAACACACTCACATCCTGAAGGTAGTGCCAACATGACAACGTTCTATAACCTTTCAGAATTTAAATTTTGTGTTTATTTCCCAAAATTATGTCACTTTTGCATTGACGGAAAGAAAAGAAACGAAAAAGCAGTGAAAAATAACTCTGATAATATGGGTGGCAGATCTGTATAGGGCTGAGGAACAAAACGAAATGCTTACGAAGCAATCAGGTTATTCATTTGTACCGCACATTCAAAATTTATTTCCAGGTAAGTATTATACTTTTTTCCTTCGTTCCTTCCAATTAATTTGAAGTAAACTTAGTCTAACACATTCATTAGCGCAAGAATGTGTTGATATATAATGATTTTCTTAGCGTCCGTGTGTGTGACGAGGTTCATCAGTTTTTTGCATATGAGATTTGTCATTCAAATAATTTCTTGCGACAAACAGATTGTTGACACTCAATTGACACTCAAATGTAAGCCTTTCTTCATTCGATTCGAAAACCTCTTTTTACGTAGACGTTATTAGTTACGTTAGACGTTATTCTTGTGTCTTCAAAAAATTCATTTCCCCCATTTCTCACTTAGAGAAAAAACTTAAAGAACATTTTATCTGGAACCCAGGGGCGTATATGCTATTGTTTGCAATCGAAAATAAATATATTATTTATTTTTAACATTTCCTAAGGGTTGAAATCCAGCCCTATCGGTGTTTTGAATATTTGTGGAGAAATAGATAAAATGTATTAACTTCACCACTCATGTCATTGTATCTGGAGAGAATAATTAATATATTTGTAAACTTCTGAACATATAACAAATATTTAGATATAAAAATTCATTTTAATTAATGAAGAAAATACAATTATCATATCTAGAAATATAAAATGGGCACTTACAAAAGCAATATCCAAATTTGTCCTGGAGTTACTACGTTTGGTTCTGGTGTTCATTTATTGTGATGTATACTTTCGAATTCAATTTAAAATGACCACAACTATGGAAACGATAATTTTTCTCACTTGTAAAATACAATGGTCTGTTGTGTAAAGAACATGTGAACGTCGAGAAGAAAACTTTGAACATCGAGATTTTCCTGTACCTCTGAAGTAGAGAAATATAAATGATCAACTATTAACTACGCGATATCTGTGAAGATGTAATCTTAAAAAATGAAGTATATATTTTCCTTTTTCTTGTCATTTATATATGACTAGTAATTTTAATTAACATGGACATGCTAACACAGTTTTTTACGTTTCAAGCTTCACGAAGAAATTTAATTGTAACGAAAACATGGATTAAATTTACCATTCTATTAAGTTCTAGATTTAATAACCTTTTATAGTGAAACCGAAATTATTTTTAATTGTATATATATATATATAATGATTAATAATAATTTCAATTAAAAATAATGAAATAGAGTAAAAAGTTCAAACGACAAAAATTTAAGAAATATAAAGAAAATATGAGATTAAACATAAATTTCCCTCTGTTTTATGAGTTGCAAATGTGGTGCTACCAGGAAGAGACAATGGTATTGTGTCATGATTTTTGAAACGACCGCAGAGAAAGTAGTGGTTTCTTTGACATTCCCATCTACACTATTAGTCATACGTTTGCGTATGTTCCGCACATCTCTTACGGGATTCGATACCAAGGCCTACGACAAGAGTGTACTATATCATATGCACTTTTTAATATTTACATTAATGCTGTAATTTTGATTATGAATTTGAATTATTCATTTGCGACAATATCCAATGTTTCTGAGGACAATTTAAAAAGACCAGGGTTCCCTCTCTTCCACATTCCGCTTCAAAACAGAAACGCGCCTTTTCAGGAAAAGAAACAGAAAATTAGTCATTTTAATTATTTAGGAAGTGACATCACATACTTCCAATGATTTTGAGAATGGTTACAAACTAAATTACAAACTAGATCATAAGAGGAATGAAGATATCCAGGAATTGGAAACGATTTCAGAATGTGAAATGATAATACATCGGCAAAATTGACTTCTTCATCGAGGGGTCAACTATTACAAATACTGATTATTGGAACAGGCTAATTGCTCAGACCGAAATGTACTAAATGAAGTTTTGAAATTAATGGCGCAAATAAACGTAACTAAGAGAATTACTAGTAATATTTGGTCCATATTATTCTTTGAAAAGGTATATCATTACGTCTTGAGAAAAGTTTTTTTAATTCCCCTATAAACGGAGAATTATGAATGGTAAACTGCAAGAAAATGGATTTTGAGAGTGGAAAATCGGAAAACAATGCTACATGAAATTTTCCGCAAGAAAGTTACTTTGCTTGCGCTTCCTAGTTCATGATTTCACACTTTTTTCGCGCGCTAAATGATTAACCTAATAAACTGTTTCTCTTGGCATGAGAGATGTTACTGGTTTCTCAACTGTAATCCGTGTGTGCGACTCAAAAGAACATTCCCACTTGTTTCGTGAGAAGTAGAGCAGAATGATACCGTTACCAGTTGTTCATGGTATCTCAGAATTGAGATCCTGACACGTCAATTCTCTTTCTACCATTAAGGTTCATATCAAATTTTCATTGGAATTAGCTGATCTTATTAAAAGTTATACAACGAATTAAAGAGAACTTCAGGACCTAACGTTCCATACTTTGTCAAATTTTATTTGGAAGATTTTCCCCTTTTGAGTTAGAAGAACATTTTGAAACCTTTTATGATGCCAGCGACACTTTCGTAAATCTCCAGTTTCGTTTACCTAATGAGGCCAACTTGAGATGATTTTGACATTCTTAAGAGTGCAATACAACAAACAAGAATAGAAATATGTCCACAATAATTTACAAACGTATCTCAAAATGTTTCTCCAGGCTAGTAAAATACAGAATTATTTAACTGTACTTCACCAAATTTTGTTAATTTTTTTGTTTCTGCCTCTAGAATTTCTCGTACGAAATGTTAAATTATTAAGATATAATCCTCAATCTTTTTCTTAGTGTACAAGAAACAGATATCGTATTTCCACCCACATCACGAATTTCCTATTTCATAATAGAGTTTTACGAAAGAAAAAAAATTACTAAATTACAAAATCTTGATAGTGTGCCTGATTGAAATCTTCATATACTTCTCTTTATAACCTATGAACTAATGAAGCTTGACAACACAAAATATTAGAAATTAGATTTTTATTGAAAGTTTTATGGTAATTTTTGTTTCGCATTTTGTTTCGGTAAAGTTTGTTGGTAAATTTTGTTGAATTTAATCTAAATTAGGAACACCAGTCAAGGGCATGCGTCATTGCAGAATGTAAAAGTATTTGTTGTATATAAGCATTATAAACGACCTTTTTTCTAGCAAGTAATCCTTCTTAAGTGGGTATTTTACGGCACAAATGATGTATTAGCCTTTTTACGGCACGAATGATTGCATCATTACGTTTAGCCAATCGCAACGAGCGAATCGTGGGAAGGTAAAGGTAAACGGAACAGCCGATCACTATTTTCTCGCACAGATGTCAAATTCCAGAGACTTCACAAGAAAGGTGTTTCGCAAAATTCAGTTTGATTCTCTTATAAACTATTGATGCTGTTATACAAAAAATAGCGTATGCAACGCGTTTGTAATGTTGTTTTATTGTGTTCTTACAAATTTGAAAACTCGCTTCTAACGCCGCTCGTTTTCAAAATATCTACTAATGCAATAAAACTTAACATTATGAACTAATTGCAATATGTAATGCTAAACTATTATGTAATGCCAAAAATATGTATGTGTTATATTGTAAAAACTATGTTTAAAGTTGTATTTAAGAAAATTATTTTACGGACGCGTGTGTGTGTGTGTGTGTGTGTGTGTGTGTCTGTGTGTAGAGGGGGAGAGGAAAATTATATAACGGACGTGTATGTGTGTGCGCAAGGGGAGAGAAGTATCCGACAAATATCATTGGTAAATCTTGAGTATGGATAGTCTGTGAAGTTTGTTATATTTTACGGAATTTAACATATCTCGAACAATTAGCACAATCAGCGTGCATTTGAATGAATTTCCTGGCATGTTTTTGAAATCAGAGAAAGATGACTAACCACTTTAGTCAAAAAGTGGTTTTCAATAGATAAGCGAGCTGGCAAACTTTCTTGTGTTTCAACCCAAAAATTCCAAGGGCATCCATAAAGCGCAGAGATCCATACTTCTCAGCGTTGCAATATAAAAAGTTTATCGTATCGCCTCGCTTTCAGCCAGGAAGCCATTCTTAACAAGTAGGGATTTCTCGGAAATGCGTAGTTTCTGAACTTATCATGTGACAGCTTGCAGACTCGAAACGTGCATTCGTGACCATTGTAGATAATCTTAACTTACAGTTCAGGAACGCTGTTAACGTGAAGTAGGGGAGAGTTTCATTCTTAGACAATTTCTAGAGGAACTTTTTGAATGCACATTTAGTAGACTTTATTCGCATCTCGAATACCCGTAATTTAATTTATAAATATAGTGTTTGTTACTACTATTCCGTATGTATTAAAAGCTAATTCTTTTTTATTAAAATACGTACAGGCGTTATAGTGTTTTGTGTACGATACAGTGGCGGCTGCTCCTTAAGAGCTCTCGGCCGGTGCCCCCCCCGTCAGTTAAACCAACCTCGGGAAACGTTGCAGAAAGTATTAAACTTGCAATAAATCGACTCGTATAATTTGTGCATACCATAAGTGCAATTTTTGAGGACGAATTCAGTTCTAAGTGCCCGATTAAGCGAAAGATAAATGTTCTTGGAATGGATAGCATCGCGGACTATCAGAAATCCTGTCCATGGCTGGTGCATGCGAGGCACTGGAAGCTTGAGGAAGACTGGGTAGCTATTAACTAAGCTAAGAATACCGACCCTTTCATCTGATTTCATAAATTATTGTTTTGTTTGCTGGAAATACTTGAAAAAATCTTTATTTTCGCGTAAGCATTTATCTTCCATTATCAAAGTTTAAGTTGCCATAGACATGGAGTAAAATCCGAATACGTGCTAATAGTATATAGGTGTTGTGGTGCGTTATCGTTGGCATTTTTCATGAAATAATTATAAACGTTGTCATTGCCAACAATAGTCTATTGTTGCCAATGACAACGTTTATAATTATTTCACATGCTAATAGGTTGTACTCTACATGCCATGGTTTTCCTAGTTCAAGATATATTTTGAAGAGTTAAAATAATATACGTGATAGTTCAAACCTACATGCCACCCCTCCTAATTCCCAATCCACCCGCCGCCATTGGTACAGTACGTACGAAAAATAGACAGAGTCGGCAGACATCTGAGAGGCAGGTACTCACGGGGGTTGACAGCGTAGGCGAGCTTCTTCATGAAGTTGGAGATGCGCACCGCCATGATGATGACAGGGAAGCCGATGAGCTGCACGGGAAGCTGGAAGCCGCCATCTTGGGCCTCTACCAACGACGCCAGCAGCACCAGCGCAGGTAGCAGGAAGCGCGCACCAACTCTCATGGCGACGCTGCGCACAGACACACACACACACGGGCTTACGTTTAATGCCAACGCCGACACATCTTGTACGCAAAGACACTGACATCACATCTCAAACCAAAATGCTCTAACCATGTATATACACACATATATGTAATGTCAGTTCCTATTTCCATATCTGTAAGGATTCCTAAATATTCATTCCAGGGACAGAGGTAAATAGGGTTTAAGTAGAGTTTTTTAAACAGGAAATTTCCCAGGATTGAATTGATTAGTAAGTCTGGGCGCGCCAACTACTAAAGTCATTAGTCCCGTAAGTGTAGTGTATGTTCATATCGCGGGATTTGGCGGCGATCTTCTCCCGTTAGACGGCAAGATTCGACGCCGACGTAACGTTACCTTGCGGGAATTTCCCCAGCTAGGTATCTCTCACTAGCAAGGCACAGTCAGAGTCGGGACACGCTCTTAGCTCGCGACTGATCCCACAACATGTGTGGCAGAGTAGTGCATACGACTGCAAATGTAAGTAAAGGGTGAGGATACGGTAAGGAAAGGGAACGAAAGGACGTGCGTGCTCCGTGGCCCGTTTGTTAGGTAACTGCTCTGGCATCCGCCTGATGTTGTTCGGATAAACCATTTCCAGGATTATGCAACAATGCATGGCAATGCATACTAACAGCTGAACATAGTAACCATGAGAGTAGCAACACTGATTATTGGAGCAAACATGGCAGAGAAGAGTGTCAGTGGGGTGGGGCGGGCAGAGCAAGGTTGGGCGAAGCCGAAAGGGTGGAATGGAAGTGAGGAGAGGAAGGACTAGGGACAGTGGTTTTGGGAGAGAACGGATAATTGATCTCCTGAAGAGGCGGCAGGTTGGTTTTAAATACACTTTCGATTAATGCAATCCGCTAGGTCGATAGGTATTGTCGACTGCCAGGCAGCAATGCGGGCGGGAGGTGCAGGAACGTTGAGGGGGGGGCAGGGATGACAAGGACGAAATAAATACTTTATTTTACACTAAGAGTAGTATACATTAACTTTTCTATTACATTTTTGTGTAGTGTTGGATTACTTCAGCGAATATTCTATATCGAGGGCAACTGGCGCATTTACTATGCTTGCTAGAGATTTTACGAAAGCTCGACTAAAAAGTATTAGTAGTAACAGTAAAGTCTTATAAATATTAAATTGATCATTATAAAGAAGTAAAGAGGTAATACTCGTGGTCACAGACAACGACTTCACTAAAAACACAATCATCAGTATCAAGATAATTTCTACAGGTCGAGAATATTATTGTTCGGTGGTATGTATAAGATATTTACGTAAACAGACTTTCTTCTTCATATTTATTTAGCTTAAGATTTAGTATAAGGTTTGATATGCGACTCTGAGGGGAATAGACAGTTTTATTCGAATTATTTTTTTTATAATTTTAATTAAGTATTGTCGAATACTATTTACTTTTATCTTGGAATGAATTAGTAGCACGCATTTAGAAGAACTGAGTATACAAAACATAGGAAGTTAGTAGTCACTCGTCTGATGCGACTTTTTATTATTATAAATTTAACATTATAATTCTGATGTTGCACGCTACACGTTCATTGAGTTCACCTCTTCCCAATTGTATTCCAACTAAGCATCCATTCTTCTTTAAGAATTTGACAGCATTATCTACAGGAAACGTGACAAAAAAAACCTTAAGATTCGCCACTCCAAACGGCCTTCGGCAACGTCGAGGAACCATCCTGTTTATCGCGTGTCCATTGTCTGTTCCGCAAATCAGCATCCACACCTCTCAGCCCGGGAGATAAGGCTCGCGGAAAGCAACCGGCTCGGTGCGACGTCACGCTCACGCCCGCGCACGCGGCTGGCACGCCCGGCGACGCACCGCCCCGCCCCGCCACGCACTTCCTTCCGCCCCGCCCATCGCCCCGCAACATAACATGCCTCCGCCGCTGGAGAACGCACGGCCAATAGCCCCAGTCACATGCGCATCACGTTCCAAAGGAAACTGAGACAGCTCGAAAATCGTTATTCTGAGTGACATCAAGAGGTGTGTTGAGAAAATTGGCTTTATTACCTTCCATAACTCAAGGAATATCGCTCACAATACAGATGACATCAACTCGTATATTACTAATTTGCAATGTTCAAATAAAATGTACGTAACAATAACTATAAAAATCTAGGGCCGTGTGAGAGATTTCTGCGGTCCCGTTACATACTCAGGAATTTCCAAAAACAATGGAATAGTTTCAAACGCAAATTTTTGATTGTGTTTTAGCGCTTGTTCTCGTACTGCGCGAACCGACTGAATCCTCATATTCAGCGCGTAACTGCCTACAATAAAGTTGGAGTCGTGTCAGTAAGGCTTCAAGGAAGAAGAATGCTGCTATAAAATATTTGCAAATCACGTGTTATAGAACAGCAACTTTTTTGATGTTCTTGGAATGTCAAGAACTTACGTACTGAATATTCACTACTCTATGTTATCGCAGTATTCGTGAAGACTATTTTCGTTAAAATATTTAACTTATTGCCCTGTTATACAAGAGTATTTTATTTGTCTTTCTTGAGCAGTGTGTGTAGTACGTTTTGAAAAACTATTTTGTGTGGTTTTGTTCAGAAGACGTTTTGCTAGGCACTAGTGTAGAGCAGAACTCTTTCGCCGCCTCTTTACCCGATAAAATTATTTTCTCCTTCAGAATGACTAAATGTGTCTCTTTCTTGTGCACCAACGTCTCACGACTATTAATTTAATTTATTAGTTATTTTTCTTCCCCGATACCTAAATATTTTGGAAGGCCACAAACAAAGCTTCGTAGATCGATAGGACCTGTGTTCGAGTTCCGGTGGTGCCCCGACAGCCGAATAGCTTAGCGAAGTAGACGTTTGCCTCAATGATTGTTTTAGAGCCCACCTGCAGTCATCGTAGTTTCCGTAGCTCCTTCCAATGATTTCCAAGCGGATTCACTACCTTAAACGACGGGAGACGGAACACGCACATCCTTCAACCTTTTCCCGCCCTTAGACTCGAGCGATAGTCCAAATCTTCTCCACATCGCCTATCCGCCAGTGATCGAAAAAATCTCCGACAAATGGTGTGTATCGTAGATCGATTAGAATCACTGTGCTGTATTCAACATGAGTTAAATTGTATGAAGGAACTATCTGGATGAGATTCTTGAGGCAGATTTCCGATTGATTGATTGTCATTATCCCCCTTCTTAATGCTTCTTAAATCTTCTTAATGGTATGAGAGAGTTTTCTGTAGCTCCAAAATAAGTGGGATTCTGCCTTTTCTCGTCCCTTTTCCAGTTTCTAAATTTTGCAATATGTTCAACAAATAAAATATCTTTTTTGGCACTAACGTATGCTTGTAACACACTTGTGTTCCAGACTTGAAAAAAAGATGGGATCGGTTGAGGAAAACGTCTCAGTTGGTAACGAAAAACAAGACGCGAAGTGATTGCGGTATTGCTGGAAAAGAGATCGATAATTTTTTTTTGTAAAGTAGAACAAAACTTTCTGGGAAGGTGGAGAGGATCAATGCAGAACCAACAAATAATTGTTTAATGAACTATATCATTTGAGTTACACTAAAGCTAGATTGGGAGAGAACATTTTCGTCAATATTCTTTCTCCAAAATTTATTTCCATTTCTTTAAAATGAATGTCGCACATTAGAGATTTCTTGTGAAAAGTTACATTGGAATATTTGACTAGGCAGCGAAAACTGCATTCCCTTCATACGTAGCATTTGGATGATTAAACATTTCGTGCTCTAGATCACCTATTCCATTCTTGACCTTCCATGAGCAACTGTACTAGGAGGTTGTTTTGCATGAAAGCTCTCTACTCTTTCTCGGGATTGCGAGAGCCTGCGAAGGAAGGCAGTCGAAGAAGTCGGACGATTCTCGCTTTCTATTACGCAAAACGCCGGGCAGGGAAACCCACTTGAGAGAAAAATGCAAATAGCACCATAAAAAGATAATACACTTCACCTTGCCCTTTCCGTCATCTACAGAACCGTTAACCTCAAAACAGCTTACACAAAGTTATAAAAACAATCATGCAATTGCCTCACAGTGTTTTCTTTAATATCTTTTAACCAAAGACCTTAAGTATGCACTATTGAAACCAATGGTGCGCAATTTGAAATGGATAAGAAACTTCATTTGTGTAATGTTAAGGATTATTCGTGCTCTGTTAAAATGTAAAATATTAACTCACTGATTCTTCAATCAAGTAATGCGTAAAGCTCATTTAAGTCAACAATGTCCACATTCTCGATACCTTACAAATTTAAATAGTTCTTGGTTTTTTCAAGTAATTTGCAAAGCGCAAGTTTCTATTTTTTCCTCATCCAAGCCCATGGTAAAGAAACACGTACATTCTAAATCGCTAGTTTATTGAGCAACATTTTGCAATGCAGAGCACAAAGAAAAATACTATAGCTATCTGCGATCACGTCGTTTCCTTCGGAGCATACAGAGTGCCTTTCGAAACACGCTGCAAGGTCATGCCGCTCTGCAATTGTCACCGCGGCCTTTTGAAATCACAGCCGTCCTGCAAGATCTTCGTTTCCTAAAACAGATTTTACGCGGAAGAAAGATGAACTTGAACTTGTTTATTACGAAACTGAAACTCACGAACGCGTTCTTGGGATGAGTGAATTTGACATTACCCAACCGAATACTCAAATACATCCATAAACGACTTCTTGCTTTTGATGAACAATTAATTCATATTATTTTTTTAAATAACAGGCACCAAGTATAATGTATTTAACGGATCATCCGGCTCCATTACAGCACATTTAATGACGAACACTTTCCCTTTCCCAAACGTACAGCAGCCTGTCACTTTCGTTCGAGCAGCACTTCCTGTTCGAGAAAAATCTGCCCGTTCGGGAAAGCGCGGCCGGCCCACAGACGCCAGCCTCCGGTTGCCAGGGCCCAGATGCTCCCCGCCGCGCGCCCTTGAGCGTGCGGGCCGCCGCGCCGCGCACCACCTACCTGTGGCAGGGCAGAGAGCCGTCGGTCCGCGTGTCCGTCGGGGAGCCGCCGCTGAACCAACACTGGTGCGGAGGCCGCGCTCGCCGCGCCGCCGGAGCACGGCTGGTGAAAGCGAGCCCCCCGCGCCAGCCCGCTTCACAGGCCCCGCCCCCCTCCGCACCCCGCCGGCCTGCCCGCTCCAGGAACGCAACGCCGCCACCGCCGCCACCGCCGCCACTCTCCGCCTCCAATGCCAGCCGCCGTCGCCAGTCATCGGCTTCGCGGTTTTGGCCTCTTCGTACGCACCACTGTCTCCGACATCGATTGATTTATTTCGAGTTTGCGGACGAGGCTACAGCTGTCATTAGTTCCGTAAGTGTAGTGCATGGTTTCCTCAGGAGGTGGCAGTGATATTCTCGCACAGAATGGTGAGATATGGCGCCAACCTAAAAGTACGTTTGCGGAGTTTCCCTAACCAGGTATCTCCAACCAGCGGGTAACTGCCTCATCCAGGACAAGCTCTGAGCTCCTTACTGGTCTCCGGTCATGTGTGATAGTGTAGTGTATGCAAGGGTTAGTGTGTCGAAGTAAGAGGTGAGGTTAGGACAAGGAAGAGGAAAGAAAGATGACGCGCGGACCGTGGCCCGACATCAACCTAGATGTTACGATTTCACATTATTTTCGACTCATGTGCCAAACGTCGCCACCAGACACAAACATTCCAATTTTATCAACTTCGTCACCTACATAAACAAACATGTTATGTATTCATGTACAATAGTTACCACCCCAGCCAAGTCAAGCCACAATCAAGAGAGACGTCGACATTGTTTTATCGTCGTTGTTGTCATCGATTTAAGAACACAACTATCAACATCAACAAAGATAATGACTTATAATGATTGACTCCAATGCCAGCCATTCTCTCCAGAGTCTTTCGCATTTATTTATTTTCGTCGAAGGGAAGTAAAAACTACGTGGCGTGTAGGGGAGAAGTACAAACTCCATACGTTTTATTATCCTCCAGATATGTCCTTCACCCTTTAATGATAAATAATTGAGTGATGAATAAAAAGTCCAACAAATCGATGTTAACTACATTTGAAAACTAGACATTTTCACTCTCGAAATTCAGATTTCCATGGTTATTGAACCATCTTCGTTGGTCTTATCTGCACCTATCGATACATTGCCAATATCATATCGTCACAGCCTCCAAAGCAAACAGTCGTTCACGACGTCATCGACATAGCCGTTTCATCTTTTCATAGGTACAATGCTACTATCGAATCGTCATTCATCATAATAATTGTTTCATCTTTATTGCCCCTATAATCACCATCGTATTAGTTATTTACATGTTAAGCACAATATGGATGTTTTTTTATGGTTGAGATTGAATTCTCAATCTTGAAAAAAACAACACTCACGAAAATACGAACATAATTTTTTCTACAAATATAAAAACATTGTAATATTTGAAAAAAATTAAAAATTCGTTTTGGAATAAGGTGTTTGGATTTCTTGAAGAATAGCAATATATTACATAGGGTCATAATTGCGGAAGCGTTACAAAAGCATGCGACTGTCTACTTAGCAATATATCCATGCTTGAAGTACTTTTTTCACTCCAACGTGACAGTTGTCTTGGCCACAGTCTTTTTAATGGATATTAAAAAAATGACCTACTTCACGCGCGGATAGCAAAAGACAGAATCCGCCTTTTTATTCAGTTGTAGAAAACGGTTATTTATGATACAAAGTGGTGAAAGTGGCATTTTATTTTGCGAGTAGGAAATGTTGCGATATGTGGCCGATAGGCTGAGTGGCATAATCCTATGAAGAAAATAAAATAACTTTTATAACGTGTCATGCACTATTTTTTAGACGGCCTTCCTGATATTCATTTTATTTCAATTCAAGTGTACAAACCACTGTTACATTAAAGTCAGTAGTAGGTGATGCCATCAAACTAAAATATTTTGTTTTTTTGTTATATACACAGTTTTATCTGAACATTTCAGCATCATTGTACTTTTAACACTAGTATTAATAATTGAACTTTTAGCATGCTTTATTAACACGAAAAATAACCGCTTTTACTAGGGGCTTTCTAAAAAGCATTTTATGACATCGTCTCCGTACGTCATTGAGACATATTACAGCCATCATTAGTTTAAAATCATCGTAGCGTTGTCACAGTTGTTGGTACCAGCAATAAGTTCACCGATGTAAAAATAATGGTCATCGTAATTCCAATTATCGGAATTTATTATAATTTCCATCTTGTACATTGCGGATTTCTCCCCGTCTCATACACATTATACATACTGTCATTACACATTGAAGAAAGAAAATGTGATGTGAGCTTCGTCGCCGTTGCATTTATCAACGCCTTACTAAACATGAAGATACAGCAAATCTCACCAATGTCATCTCAGCCAAAGCCGTCTTTATCATTGCCGCCATTAATCTCCGTTGTTACGGTACTGAAAGTGTTTCTAGTGTTGTTATGACACTGATAAGAAACGGTTGCGTAGGCTTCCGCGGCCGGAGTTTATGTTGGCTGGGCTATCCGGGGCTACTGGGGCTGGACTATCCGGGACGCAGTACGCTCTGAAGAAGGCCACAATACGCTGGCCGAAACGTTAGCCACCATGACATTGACGCGGCGCGTCCCGGATAGCCCAGCCAACACTGATAAGTAACATTGCTGTGATTTAATCCACAAACAACCAGTATCGCAATCGGAGTAGTCCTGATGATTCCCGTTGACGTCTCATCTGCAATGCCGGAACCTCTTAAGAAGACACAGATTTTATCACTCTTTTGCCTAATTTTGTCCCCAACACTGAAATTTCGTCGATGGCAACGTCGTGTAAACAAGTCATCGACAACATCATTTTCACATCGCTGTCATAATTGAATTTTCGCCAAGGCTACACAGCTGTACCACCACATCATTTATCTTACTTGTTGTTCTGTTATTGCCATAACCGCAAACAGATGACAACCATCGTTGCCTCCGAATCGTCGTTGCGGCTGGCGGCGCGGCTCCGCCCCGCCCTGGCTTGCCCGTTGCGTCCGCGTTGGGTAACCGGCGCGTCAGCCGTGTTTGGCTCCGCGGGGAAAGTGTCAAGGAGTACTCTCGCTGACTGCGTGGAGACGCTCGGGAGGCACAGGCCGGGCGGTGTGCGCGCGCGCGCGGGGTTATGCTGACAGCGTGCCTCTGCGGACGTGTGAGGAGCTACGCGGCGTCCTCGTACACACGTGGAAGCGGAGCGGGACGGGGGGTCCTTCGCGCTCTGTGCATTGCGCTGCGGTATCGCGCGATTGTGAATCGAATGCAAGCGGCCTTCGGAGAACTGGGTTACAACTGTAATCTGGTTTTCTTGAAGTTGTTAGTTGGCTTCTTGGCCAGTGGGCCAAGCCAGGTTTGGTTGTTTGGTCTCGTTCGAGTTATGCGTTTATATACTTCGCAGTCTCCGAATTCTCTACGGTACCTTTACTATCAGGTTGCCCTGTAGGACATAAAAACTATAACACTTTGTTCTGAGGAACAAGAAATGTCCGCGGTGTCATTTCCAAAAGTACATTTACGATTTATAAGAAATTGATTCACAGGTTATTATTTTTCATTCATAATGGACTCAGCGGAAGAACAACGCGAAGTAATGAATGAGACACACAGCGACTCAAGCAATAATGGTGAGTAGAAAAAATTGGTGTATTTTCTCGAGGTTACGCACGCCGTGGATTTGGATGAAATTTGCTAAAGGACCTCAATCTAGCGTACTCTAATCGCAAAAATCTTGAGAAAAATCATCATTGATATTGCTACGAGGTTAGTCGAACGAAATCCTACATTTTATAACTTGCTATTTCGAACGATTGCATAGAATTATTCACATGATTTATTCATGAGGCCGAAGCACACATTATGCTGTACCTGGAGAAGAAATAAAACCTGAATTTTACTTGCGATAACAAATTGTTAATTAGGCTCATTAAACATTCTTAAGATATAGTTCAAGGAAATTAGGAATGATCATGCACTTATCATAAACTTATCATTTGCGTATATCTGAGATCAGAGATTACTGAAAGATATAAATACATAGGGAAATTTCGTTCATCAAGTAACATGTAGAGATTAATGTAGAAAACTACGGAAATATAACATGCTTAAAGAAAACGAATGATTTATAGATTATTCTTCACGATAGATTATTTTCTATGTAAACCAAGTACATATGTGAAATTATCTGATAGTAGGATATGAGTACAAGTGTTCGTAAAGCACGGAAGAGTACACTTCGTTTAACCGCTGTCAATGCAGTTAATGAACTCTCTAGCCTCATATGATGCATTGGAAGAGAGGAAATTTTTAGTTTTGAGAGAAAGCGTAGTACAATTGTATTTCACACCTAATCTATAATTGAAGTACTCATTTCAGGGTATTACTTTAAAACCTGGTTCATAATACGAATCATAATACTCCTTCATGAAATACTCTAAAGCGACGTCATGACGCGATCCATCATCGTCAACACCATAATTATCGTCCTACAGGCAAAAGGTTCCTTGTCTCGGCTGACATTACATTCTATTGTCCGGTACACTTTTCATATCTCTATAATTAGTGAAGTTTCTTCAATTCTTCTGATATTTTCATTCTAGGACCACCTTTTCCTATTTTTCCAACTATTGGGAATCAAAAAATTGGCCTTAACAATTTTTAATGTCTAAAAATGTCTCCAAAACATGTAGCTTTTCTGTTTAAAATAGTTTTATAAAATAGTGATCTCTTCTCCTTCACTTTTTCTAAAATTACAGAATTAGACATTCTTTCCGTCTAGGAAACATTTGCGCTCCAAGGGTAATAGGGGGCCCTTAACTTCTACCCACTCATTCACCTTCAGAGAAAACCACTTTGACTAAAAAGCATATCTAAAACAAAATATCCTTTACGTAAATAAAAACAGGAAATTTTCGTGCCAATAATTTTAAAAGGGTTAATTTTGCAATAAAAATGTATAGGAACTTTTCTATAGGAACTTTTCTATAGGAAATTTTGTCGACTTCAATTTTGTTTAGAACATAACTCTGGATAGCATGTGTA